ATAAAAAAATTATTAACATATATTTTAAAACAAAAAATTATTTAAAAAATAACCATAACCACATTTTCAAATAAATTAAATACATCTAATTATTTAAAAAATAACTATAACCACAATCCCAAACAAATTAAATACATCTTTTTTTTTAAATGTCCTTGGTGAGAGCTACCAACGCCTGCAAAAACCGAAAAAGAACTCAACATAAAATGTTATTTTTTTTTCTTCTCTATCTCTGTTATTTTTAGATGGGTTCTATTAATAGCTCGAGGAGCTGCGACCAAGAGGAGCAACTAGCGAGGAGGAGGAGTCCTGCATGCAGGAGCTACGGGAGGAGAGTCTGTCATGGGTGGTGGCTGCTCTCGGTTCCTGCATGGTGGAGCTGGTTGGCCGGATCTGATTTGGTTGAAGGTTGAGTTAGTTTTTCTATTGTCATACATGGTGGCTCCTCCTGATAACCATGCTGAAGGGTGGAGCTGTTGGACAGGATGAGAGCCTTTTGTGTTGCTGGTGGTGAGGAGTTGCTGGCCGTGAGTTGAAGGGAATGGCATGGTGTTGAAATGGGAGGCTATGGGTTTGTAAGAGATTTAGCAAAAGACATAATGAAAAGGAAGCGGCGGCTCACCACTATGGTCTCTAGTGATTACGGGGAAGAAGATTGGAAAATGAGAGACTATGGTCTCTAGTGATTACGGGGAAGAATGGAAAATGAGATGATGTTCTTGTATGCTTAAAACTGTGAGGGAGATTGTTATCTTGGATATAGACAGATAAAATAAAATGTCGCGTGGGGCCTATTGGTTTCTCAGTATGGTGATATTTTTCTAGGCAGTGATGAATAAGAGTTGGTCTCACAACAAAAACTTATGCACAATAGAGTGGGAGATGGTTGATTCTTTTTGTTGAAAATAAGCGGGTCATTATATAAATGTCGTAATTGAAAACTGCGATAAAATTACAAATCCCAACTGTGAAATTTAATCAAATATTACATTTCAGAACAGCGACATCCTAAAAGTATTCTGCTTCACTAAAACTACTTTTTGCTTGTATCATTCTTCCATGTGTTTGCATTGTATAGGCTAATTGCCTAATTTATCCAGCAAATAATCAATTAATTGCAGCTCAGGGAAATTCAAAAGAAACAACATCAAAGAAGACATGGTATGACTAACAATGAGGCCGTGCCATTTAGAGTTCACCGGTGCAGGTGTACAAATCTGGCAAAACAAAAGGAATAAAAGAAATGCACGTAGAAAAACGACAAAACAAGGGGATATGAGTAGAAAGGCATCATCAGCTAAAAAGAAACTTAATGATCACGATATACTGAGTTTCTTCTCTTTTAGATAAAAATATGAAATTTTATTAAGAAAAATAAAGAAAACAAAAGAGACATGTAAAAGATTGAATTTACAACAGCAGCAGATTAGAAAGACCTCGACCTGATGTAACCTTGAAACAATTTGCAAGGTTGGCCTCTGACAACTTGTAACATTATTGCTTTCGACTTGCTGCCAGAACTCATCGAGTTTTGGGTCCATGTAGTTGATAAACAAATTCACAAGTGAATAAGTTAAAAGTGAAATATAACAGGACAAGATGAATAAAGCATCCATCAGGAGATAGGAAGCTGCGAAGAAACAGACCGATCAGATTCTATCATGGATTTGATGTAGAATTCACCTGCCTTGTATGATGACCTAACCATGGGGCCAGATGCCACATATCGAAATCCCTGTATCATCCAAAGACAACAAGAATCACACAAAAAATCCTAGTATAGGTCTCAGAAATCCAAGCATCGGTAGATAGTTTTAACTTAACAGACAACTCAAAACTACTGGCAAATTGGAATAGGATGCTGCATCTACAAACATATCAAATTGATAATCAATGCATGTCCAGTATAGTGGCTATTATCACTGTAATCAAATATCAATACATGTTTGAGGAATCTGAACATATCAGATCAATATCACTAGATGTGCAATACTTCCAGCAGTACACTGAAACTGGGAAGGAAGGCTAAATCAGCTGAAAGCTGATTTGTTATACAGGAAAAAGGGCACAAGGCAGACAAACCAAAGAACATTGGACATGATTTCTTTGACCAAGGAAAAGGGCAGCATCAATTGTGTTCAATGCACTAAACTAGCATGACTGTAAAAATATATAGTTGAAAGGGGGCTTTTATCAGGAGTTGACTCATATTCAAGAAGAATAGCTTGAAACTCAATCTATCACAATACTAGCAGACAGACAGTGGCAGAGGCGGAGAAATTGCTAACATGTTCAGATTTTCAACTTTGTCCAATACAGTTACTTCATAACAGAGCTAAAGAGGGAGATCAAGTAAACTAGTCTGTAACATAAAATTAATAAATTAATAAAAAAGAGACATCTAATTTGTAACAAGTGAACTACTATATCCAATATCTCATGAATTAATTTATTTGGAAGTCCAGGCAACCAAATTAGGTCATCCACAAACATCAAGCTCTCAATAGAGGAATTGAGACCAGACAATGAAACGAGAGATATGCTTGAGAAGCAGATTAGATTAATTCCATTCACCAAAGAACTTAAGTTTCACCAGAAAAAGGTATAGACAAAAGTAGCCAAGTTCGAAATGGTACTTTCATCTGCAATACTTGAATATTCCTTCTGACATACGACACTTCTCCCAGTTACAAACAGATTAGTGCAAGTGGCGGAGCTAAGAGATATTTTAAAGGAGGGCCAATAGTCAATTTACCATAACATTTTTTTAAGAGAAAAACAAAAAATCAAAGACACACCCATGTACATGCACGCACTATAGCTTTAACATCTACATGAAACATTAATATCTAGCATGTTAACAATAATAAGCAAACACTCAATTCCAGAATATCTTGAACATTCTTATATAGAAGAGAAATTGAAAAATACCGATCAAGTAGCAACAAGTTTAAAAATTTAACAATAAACTATATTTTGAACATATGTGTTAAGCTAGTTGTAGACACAAAAAAGAAGAAGATGAAACCATCCAAGAAAAATAACTAAAGTTGTGTACTAGATAAATAAAATAAAAAATTTAAAATTAAAAGATATATATAACAAAATAAAACCCTAAGAAGTCATTGCACTGTTACTCATATATAAAAATAAAATACATGCAGCAAATTAATTACAACATGGAAAGCAGCCCCTTGCCTCCCCACTCACCGCCACGGATTCATATTCATATTCTAGCATACATAAGAACCAGTTATTTAAAAAGTCAAAAAGATTGATCCAGTATGTGTGTTTTCCTTCATGGAAAAGAATCAGATCCCCCACGTAATACAAAACCGAAATGAAGGAGCGGACCCAGAGATTAGCTGTTATTAAAAGTACTTTGAGTGAACATAAAGAGTAATTCACAACTTGGAAAAACGGTGTAACCCACAACAAGACAAATCAGCCCACTTTTTAATCCATTATTTTGTTAATGGCATAAAATTTATACCAATCACACAATGCTTGGGCCTTTTACTTTGCAAATTAACCACATAAGACAAGATGGAGCAAAAATGAAATTGTATGCGTTAACCAAAAAATCTATAGTACAACGCAGAAACATACCATTTCCATGCCAAGTGTTCTATACTTCTCAAAAGCGTCAGGAGTAATGTATTCAGATACTGGCATATG